CCTGGGAAATAAAAGGGGAAGATATGGAGGCAGTGACAGATTTTACTTTCTTGGGCTCCATGATCACTGCAGATGGTGACAGCAGCCACAAAATTAAAAGACACCTGCTTCTTAGAAGGAAAGCGATGATAAATATAGATAGCATCTTAAAAACTAGAGACATCACCTTGCCGACAAAGGTCCGCCATAGTCAAAGCTATGGTTTTTCCTGTAGCGATGTATGGAAGTGAGAGCTGGACCATAAAGAAGGCTGAATGCCAAAGAATTGATGCTTTTGAATTGCGGTACTGGAGGAGACTCTTGAGAATCCCCTGGACTTCAAGGGGAACAAACCTATCCATTCTGAAGGAAATCAACCCTGAGTGCTCACTGGAAGGACAGATCCTGAAGCTGAGGCTCCAATGCTTTGGCCATCTCATGAGAAGAGAGGACTCCCTGGAAAAGACCCTGATGTTAGGAAGGTGTGAAGGCAAGAGAAGGGGATGAGATGGTTGGACAGTGTCATCGAAGCTACCAACATGAATTTGATCCAATTCCGGGAGGCAGTGGAAGACAGGAAGGCCAGGCATGCTCTGTTCCATGGGGGTCACAAAGAGTCGGACACGACTTAACGACTAAACAACAACAAACCCACTGTGAGCAGAAATTAAATTTGCAATTTAAAATTAAAAATAGGCATTATTGCTTAGTAAAACAGTTATTTTAAATTTAAAATCAACAAAAATAGTTCCTGTCACAAATATGAATGAAATGTAATTTACCTTTAAAAATAGCAGAAACAAAAAAAATGAGAATAAAAAGTGGTGTAAGCTGATAAAAATATTTCACCGTTCTGAAAATGTCATAGCCTTGTGCCCCCGTCCCATGGAATTTCTCATGACCTCATGTCTCCTCCTTTAGGAGCCAGCGCTCTAGACCAGCCATTCCCAGTAGGAGCCATATGGCCCCTTGGGTAGCTCTCATAGATTTTGAGAGGCACATAGACTGGAAACACCACTTTATAGGGTTCATTATGTGACTAGTGCAATCCTGATTAAGCCTATATTTCCTTCACATTGTGTGTGTTTATGGCCCTGGCCAGAAAAAGGTTGAGAATGCTGGTCTAGTCCATGGAGGGGGAATGGAAGTGTCATCTGTCCTGCCCACCCACCCGGTATCTCCATCTGCTTCACAGAGTTTATTTTTTCACATTTTTAACAGTATCTGTTTTCTGTTTTCTTCAGGTGGCTACGGACCATTTCAGTAATTCTTTTCTTGAACAAACAGGATTTGCTAGCGGAGAAGGTTTTGGCAGGGAAATCTAAAATTGAAGACTACTTTCCAGAATTTGCTCGTTACACCACACCAGAAGATGGTAAGATATGTGTCATTTAGCATACAGTACCTATGTTTTAAAAAAATCACCACCTGGGTCAGTGATAGGAGAAACAAAGCACTGCGTTAGGAATAGAGATGGGCAGAAACATCTCATGCCGGTTCATACATGCTGCACATTCCCTTCCCCCACCTCACTAGCTGGATCCCCCACTCATTAGTTGGTGTACTCAGGCAAGGAGGCAAGACAGGCAAACTTATGCTCCTGCCAAGACTGGTCGAACAGCCAAAAAGGAGAAGCGTATGTTCTGACTCGTGAGTGGGTCATTAGCTGGGGAGACAGGGGAAGGGAATGTGCAACACTTGTGGTGCATGTATGAACCAGCAGGAACCTCTTAACTGAGGTTTGTACCCTCTCTAATTAGGAATTGCCATATTTTTCCATGTATAAGACTATATTTTTGTCCAAAATCTTTACACTAAAAATTGAGGGTTGTTTTATACGCGGGAGTAAGCTCAGGAGAGAACAAAAACAAGTGGAGGGGAAAGCAGGGATCAAAGCGATCCTGCAGCACTTTGATCCCTTTCCCCCTACACTTGCTAAGCCCCACTTAGATTTCTTAATTTTGGATTAGAAAAGTGGGGGTGTCTTATACATGGGGGCGTCTTATACACTGAAAAATACTTTATTTTTTTTACTTCCTGAGAGCCTTATGTGCTGAATAATTCCACAATTTGGATTTTTGTTTAATGTAAGATTCTGCAGAATTTCTTCAGGTTTTTTTTTCTTTGATGCAGTCCCCTTTCGCTTCTAGTCTAGACCAATTCCAATTCAAAATTTCATTTTGTCAGGATAAAACAATACCACTGATAACATTACCTTACAAGTTAAAGTGTGTATTTTTCAGCAATCCATGGCTGTCTGATTTTTTTTTTATTTTTATTTTTTTTATTATTATTTTTTGGGTTTTTCGGGCTCTTTGGCCTATCATCAGAAATGATAGAAGTTATAGTCCAGAACATTAGGTGATTGGCCCCCGTGTGATGTGTAAATGCACATAAGGCTTGAATCTCAAGGTTTCCTTCCAGATATTAGAAAGCTTCATGGAAGAGCAGTCTTCCCAAGAACATTGCCAAAGAACATTCTATGAAAAGAGTGACCTCCAGGCCTAGAGAAATCCTTCCTTTCCATGCTGAAACATTGTGGCCTATTAGAATTAATAGTTTGCCTATAATAGCTTTTTCTGTTCACCCTCATATTATCATGTTACCTATGATACACCTGTGGCTCTGTACTCTTTAAAAAATCATCTGCTAGGTTTTGTGCTTGTTTATGGAATGAGATATTTGGAACGAAGGCAATGTATTTTACACGAATTCTTGTTTTGAGATAATCATCTTTTTCTTCTTTAATTTAACAGCAACACCAGAGCCTGGTGAGGATCCTAGAGTTACAAGGGCCAAGTATTTTATTAGAGATGAATTTCTTGTAAGTGTGGTTTCTTCAGTATTTCTTAAAAGGTCTCGTCTAACTCTGCTTTGTGTTTCTGCTTTTCATAATCAACTCATTTCAGCATTTACAGCTGTTTAATGTTGTTGTTGTTTTTTTGCAACAACCCAAAAAAGGCCATATGTGCCAACCTGACTGCATAAGCAACAATGAAGCAGCGAGCAATTGACGTATCAAATGGTTGTTTCACGGCCGGGATCTGATGGTTGCTGTGGGTTTTTCGGGCTCTTTGGCCTCATGTTCTGCAGGTTGTTCTTCCTGACGTCTCGCCAGTCTCTGTGGCCGGCATCTTCAGAAGACTGGAGTAGCAGTAGTGCTACAACAACCATTAATTAGATCCCAGCCGGGAAAGCCTTTGTGAATACATTGAAGTATCAAACTTTAACTATCTCTATGGCGTTGGAAGAAATGTTAGCACTGATCTTCTGTACTTTGTGGTTAATAAGACACTTGCACTGCTGCTATCTCCCACTCCTTTACTACCATTCCACTTAATGAGCCTACTGGTACAGTGGTTAAACTGCAGTACTGCAACCGAAACTGCTCAGTTCCAGGTAGCCAGTTCAAGGTTCACTCAGCCTTCCACACTTCTGAGGTCTGTAAATTGAGTACCCAGCCTGCTGAAGGTGGATGTTGCAATGTTTAGCCTGCATACCGTAATTAAACTAAACAGCCCAAAGAGTGCTTTAAGTGTTGTGGAGCTGTATATAAGCAGCAAGCTTTTGCTTTAATGAAACTAAGGCTTCGAATGACCAGTTTTTAAAGACTATTGGTTTGTACATCATACTGTGCTTTCTTGATGCTGACCCATAAGATACTGAGACACACACAAAAAATGGAAAAGCATGCATTATATCTCAGTGATGATGATGTGCTGTCAAGTCAATTCTGACTTACGGTGACCCTTTTCAGGGTTTTCCGGATAGAGAATACTCCCTTCTTCTTGGGCACCTTGGAATTGTGCAATGTTTTTATCTGGCTAGATATTGGTATTCCTCTAATAATACCTGCTTTGTAATGAATAATTCATTTTGATTTTGGTAATCATAGCTAGGTTTCTCTGAGTTGTTCTGTGTCGGTTCTGTTTTGAACCATATTTGGCATGGGGGAAAGAAAAGTCAAACTTGCTAAAGGATAGAACTAAGGAACAGACTGAGAGGTAGACCTTACTCTGCTCTTCCTCAAGCTGACACAAAAATTTGATGTCTGCCATTTATCTGTTATTCCTACAGAGAATCAGCACAGCAAGTGGAGATGGAAGGCACTACTGCTATCCTCATTTCACATGTGCAGTGGATACAGAAAACATTCGGAGGGTTTTCAATGACTGTCGGGACATTATTCAACGGATGCACCTTCGCCAGTATGAATTGTTGTGATGGAGAGCACTTTGTCTCTGTTTTGGACTCCTTATTCCTTATTAAAAAGAAAAAAAACTGGCCCACATAGGGTGGAAGAGAACTATTGCCATCTCCCTCTGATCTGCATCCCTCGACCTTTTCTTCTTGCTGGACAGATAGCAGCACTTCTAAGCTTGCTTGTTTCCACCCCCTTGGGGACAGTTTGGGATGGCCTATGAAACGCAACAGGCCTTTCCTGTGAACTGGGGAGGGTTGCTGTTAACATTGTCTTTAACAAACAAAAATTAGTAACGCCCTGAAGGTGGAGCACCTGAAAGGATTTGGAATTACGTAAATTTAAAGATTAAAAAGCCAACGAAAAAAAATGGGAGAGACAACAACATTAGGTAATGCTGTGGGCATAGTCATATATCCCATGATTTCAACTTTATATCCATCCACTGCATCAGACTAAAGAAGGTGCCAAGTCACAGACCAAGTTGAAAGGACAGGTGCTTGAGTTGGGTTCTCTGCCTCTGAATGTGACTTTGAGTGGAAATACTGACAGTTGTACAACAAACCTAGAGAGTACAAAACCAACTGCTACCTTCAGGAAGGTGTTGTTGAAACTTGGTGGTCTTAAGGTGACCAGGGATGTTGCAGAATGAACTGCGGTAAGGCCTGTGATTGCAGAAAGAGTTAACCACACACTGTTTTCAGTTTGTCCACTGATGATCCTGTCTGCTATACAAAAAAAGAGAAAAAAAAGAAAAAGAAAAGAAAAAAATCATTATCTGGACTGTAGTCCTCACAATCTTCCCTTTGTCTGTTATACCCATCTTCCCACCCCTACACCTCTTTCTTCCCAATTTTTATTTTACTGCTGGATTATTATTCTTGTACAGACTGTAAAATGTATTATTTTGTACAACTTTATTGAAAAAAAATAACTTGTAGAAGATCTTTGTGCCTTGATTATGGCTGTACCTGTGCAATGAGCTAAGATGTAAGTATGTTTGATTGCGCTGTACAGCTTTGTCAACCCTATCAGCAGCATTCGCTCAAGGTAGGGAAAATTTATCTGTAGTTTAGGGATTTTTTTCTGGTTTATAAGAGAAGAAGGAAAAAATACTGTTTAGTATATTAAAAAAAAGTACAAATCGTGCAAACTTAACCACTTTAAAAGTGAGGTCTACAACAAGTGACCAGATGTTGCCGCATCATGCTTTTTAATTTTTAGCTTTAACTCATTTAAATCTATCCAAATGCAAAACATGGCTTGTTTCTACATAAACCAAATTTTGCTACAAATTATAAATGTTAGTCTTTGTCATTCATAGTCTTTTTTTGTGTGTAAAAAAGACAAAAAAAACAGAACAAAAAAAGCAAATATAACAGGCATTGCACTGGCCTCATGGCCATTATGCTGGGTCAGATACTTTTCCACCCTACAATATTTCTATAACGAGCATAAGGTTCCCATAATGAGAAAAGATGTACCTTGCCTCTGGATTTGGCCACTGAATTTCAGTTTCAAATGACATTTTATTTCTCTTTTAATAAAGAGATACTTTAAAACTTTGTTTTATATTAACTATATAAGTAGCTTAAAGTGAAAATGTGTGGATTTTTTCTTAAACTTGAATAATTTATGCAAATTATATCCTTAGAACAACGTGTGGTACAGTAAAACAAAAAGAGAGCAAAAATCACTGTAGCAATAAGAGAGCATGTAATTTTAGTAACTACTACACTGCTTTATATTTTATACCTAGGTGTTATGTCTTTGTGAGCATATTACTTTTTCATGTGTCTAAACATACATGTACAAATTTATAGTGTCTAAAATTACAGCTATAATAACACACATAGAACAGTGTTAACTCAAGCACCCCTTTGCCAGTCCTTAAAAATAGGGGGGGGAATTGGGTCTTAACATAATAATTATTTTAATTGCTTTTTACACGTCAGCTCCCTGTGTCACAGGGCGTCATGTTGATTTCTCAGATGGAGGCCCTATTTTAGAAGTTATGTACAAGAATATCTATAGGTGCCAGAAGCCTATATGTGATCAGAACAAGGACAGATTAAAAAGAAGGTGACTTGCCCTGCTCTAGCACATTTAGAACACATGAACTAAGTGATAGTGATGCATTTTTCCTTACTAGGTTAGAAACAGACTCAGTGTCTTTTGCAAAACACACATGCTGACACTGTCACAACACATAAAGGTGAGGGAACTGCACATTTTGTTGCAGCTTTCCTTCTTTTTTCTAAAGCTCCAGTTGCCAAGGTCAGTAAGCGCCAAGCCATGTCTGACTTTACAACCCAGCTTGCTTCATCAGGTGTGGGAGCTTGCCACAACAGAGGAAGCCCAAAACTGTGTGTAATTCCCTCCTTACCATAAATAGCTCTTTTGGATTGCAGCCTGTGACTGCAGTGAAGCCAATGTAAATGACCAGACTGTCCATTTTGAAATGTTTAAAAAGAGAAACTGCCTTGTGAGCATTTGGAATCAGTGGCAAAGCCTGACCCAGAAATACACCTTTGCCAGTATATGATTTTAGTTAGTGCCTATTATTGGGATTTCCAGAGGTAAAGACATAGAAGACACAGTCCAAAGCGTGAGCCTTAATTTTTCTGTTACGAAGCCAAAATCTTTTCAGTTTATTGCCAAACCTATTTTATTACCTTTTAAAGCCTGGGGAGGGAAATTGGGGTGAATTGTTCAAGAACCAAATTAATAAATTGCAAAGAATATTCTATGTGATCTGAAAAAAGAAAAGAAAAGAAAGCATCATCTCTACTATAAGGATACCTTCCTTTGGAGAGAGAAGAAATAAGCATATGTAACAAGGTGTGTGTGTGTGCGTGAATGTGCATGTGTGCACATGCTAGGATGTATGTGCACACTCCATTAAAATACATTTCTTAAAAGCTTTATGTGAATGGAAAGTATCTGAGATGTTTTTGAAAGATGATGGGAGAAGGCAGTATTTTGAAACTAATTTGGGCTGCACATGTATGAGAAAGAGAGAATGTGTGTGTGTTTCTTGTCTCAGTATTGCCTCTGTTCGTATGTCTAGGTTTGTGCAGTTTGATGGCCTGGTAAACAAGTCTTATTTTTAACAGCCTTTTCTCTTTGTTTTGTTTTTATTTTTTTAATACAAAACTCCATAAAGCTTCCATGCTTGCTATTTAAGTATGTGTTTTCTTCTGTCTCTAATTTAGTTGCCTTAATTTTGTAGTTATTTCAACCATTCCAGTCTAATGCTTATCTTTTCCTTGGACTTTTTTTTTCTATTTATTTATTTGAACTTCCTGTTCAAATAATTGTCATGCTTGAGAAGGAACTTGCCTCTGTCACCTGTTTCAGGAATTTCTTACTTTTAACAGCCAAGACAGTTTTTCTTTTCTCTAAAGTATTCACCACAATGTTGATATGTACATTAGCCACAAATAAAAACACTATAACTTTTACCAATAAAACCAACCCAGAGTTTTAGGGTCACATTTGAATTTTCACTATTGGTCAGGATGTGTTGTAATTCTCACACTATTGTTATTGTGAAAGTCCACATTTTCCCTTGGGGTTTTTTTGTGCTATTATGCAAGCATACTTTTGTTACCATTTTTAAAATGTTTCGGCGAGAGATGGGGGTGGAACATTTTTGTCTGGTTAAGGTTGTGCAACTCTTGTTGTGTGAGATCTGGTGGTTGTTTTTTAATTACTCAATGAAGATGTTTTGCAAGTATGAAATTCAGAACCATTTGGATTTAAAACATAACCCTTGCCATGCTGGTCTCTTGCAATCTAGTTTGATTAGCTTGAGATATTTTGTATCAAAAATACATTATACAGGTGCATTTGAGGCTATGGAAGTAACAGTTTAACCCGCAAGTGGTTTGATTGTAATGCATTTTAGGATACCAAGTATTTATCTGTGCAGACCATATTGTTTCACTACTTGCCTTTTTTTAAAATCATGCTATTGGGAATATGCACTGAGATCCAACAGTATTAACTCAAAGCATACTGAAATTCGCCCAGACCATGAATACTAAAGGGGAAAATGAGGAGGAGGAGATAATGATATCCTACACGTCCCTGCACGCTTTCACGTGATATATATTCCTCCACATACTAGATTACAGCCTTTCAAAATAAGACTTTGACTCATTGCTTTTCAGGAATACAGTAATAACCTGCAGTATTCATTGTTGATGTAACATTCTTGCCCTCAGTGATGGCAAAGTCATTAGACCCAAATCAGACATTACCTTGGCAGAACAGAAGCTGCTTTTGCACAGGCTAATCCTGAATGGCTCCAGGAATGTGAGAGCCATATGGTATAGACATGCTAACAGTTGCCTATTTGTACTGGAGAAGTGGAACACGCGGAAATGTTCCTGGACTAGAAATGCATGAATCAGATGTTATGGTTTTTCTAGAGGGTTGGGCAACAGTGGTGTGCAAAGGAGCCTACTGATAAAATCACACCTACATACCACATAGTTCCTATACACACAACTTCTATACAGTATTGCAAAGGGCTTAGATACCAGAAAATCACTTTATTGGCTTTTTAAAAAAGATTATTTCCATATTTTGCCTTTTTTACAACACACCAAATTGTAAATTCAAGTTTACCTTGACATTCCAGTGTATGTAGGAAGCTTTTAGGTGGTTGTTGTTTTTTTTCCTTAAAAGTCAGCAAAGGTGAATTGTGTGGGGCAAATGTCAAGAGGATGTTGATCCTATGACGTCAGCAGAATTGAGACCCTGTTGTTAAATAGCACATCAACCGAAGGAGGAATTCTAACTGGGGAATCTTCTTCTGATGATAGACTCCTGTAGTATTTTGTGTCATAGCCATATGCCACCATTTGTTACGTAACACAGGGAAAGAAGGCATGGATGTGACTATGCATCCTAGGTAATTGTATACTTTTTGCCATTCCAAGTAATGTGTTGTATTATTTGAACGCCGTGAATGTGCGGTCAGTCAAGCACTGTGACTTTGTGGCACGTTACATACTTTCTCGTTTATTAAGCTAATTTTCCATACACTTTCAGTAGCCTACAGTAGGAAAAAAAAAAGAGTAAAGAGAATGGGATGACAGATTTGATTTCAAAATATGTCCTCCTTTTCATTTATTTATTTTTAATTATTTACAAGAACTACAGTATATTCATTTAAAACTATAGCTAAAAATTACAAGGATGGAACAAATCATCCAGCTGATAAAAGTCAAATAAGGTAAAAGACATTCGAATAAAGATCATACAGTTAAAAGCTTTGGAAAATAAAATATGTGCCTTTACTCTGATGCTTGAAGAATATATGTCTCACAAACTTGTCTACAAATGGAATATGCAGATGGAATATTGCTAAAATATCTCTTATCACCACACTAATTGACATCTATCATAAAAGAATTCTGTGGAACCTGGTGTTTTTGACAAAGAGAGTTTTCTTATGTGTCCAACCAGATTTGGATCTGCAGAATATCTGGCACACATTTACAAAAACATGCTTCATGTGCACCTCTGCCACAAAAAAATAGCTAAAAGTAGCTTAAATGATTTAATACTACGGACCAGGTACATATGATTGATATGTGTAAAAATGTCCATAAATTTAAGGAAAAATTCCATACATTTTTCTTCATCTTCAGTGTTTAAAAATGGAGGAAAAAAGTGACTACATTATTCTATCATTTCATTTAAAAACTTCAAAAAAGGAAATTGAGGGGACAAAGACAGCCTAAACAAAATCAAAATGTATAGTAGCCCAGGGACAATCATTTCTGTACCCATAAACCAATTAGAAACCATCAAAAGCAAGAAAAAGTGCTATACTCTTTTAAATAATTCCATATAATTTTAATTTTTTTCACTTGTTCTTATAACAAAGGTTACAATTTACATCAACCAGAATGCTAACTACCATAATTTGCCAAACATTCAAAAAATTGTTCTACCTTGTATAGTCCAAGATAATTTTAAGATGTCAAAGTCCCATAGCTTTATGAATCATTGTGTGATTCTTGGAATTTGATTAGCTTTCCAGTGTTTCGCATGTATACCAGACACATTTCTTTATCCTTATGAAACTACAGATTTTTAAAAAATATATACCTTAGGGTAAGTAAGTCATTTTTTGTATAGGATATTATTTTCTGATGCCAGTTTTTCTTCTCCCATAACTCTTCATTTGCTCCTACTGCAAATTTGTGTTTCAGTATCCTTATTCCTTTCAGATACATCATCTTCCTTCATGAAGTAAAACTGAACAAATCAGAGATAGTGACCTCTGATCTGTTCATTAATATTTGCTCCGGTTTCAGTTAAGTAAGGGACCACCAGTACCTCCCCTTTGCCTAATCCAGTCTCACAAAAAAGTGTCTCATTTGGAAATACTCCGGAACAGGTATTTGAATATTGCCTGTTCCCTCTTTAATTCGTCTGGGAAATAATTTTCCAGTTTTTGTTAAAATTTTGCACAAAAAGAAATAAGGTGAGGTTTTAAGATGTAACATAATTTGATACCATTTTTTACTCAATATAAATTACTGTACTGTTCCTGATTGGTCTTATGGTGCACCTGCAATGATATCATAATCACAAGGTGCCATCAAGTTGATTTTGACTTGTGGTAATCCTTTCCAGACATTTTAAGGTATATATTTATTCATTTTAAATCTTTTTATCCCACCTTTCTCCTTAACAAAGGACCCAATCTGGCTTATATTAGCCGCCCAGAGTGGTAAAATATACCAGATGGGCGGGATATCAGTCAATCAATCAATCAATCAATCAATCAATCAAATAAATAAATAAAGCTAAAAACAGGTATACAAATATTTAAAAGAATTAAAACAAGTATTACTTTTTAAAAATAGCCATAAAATCAATTCTAAAACACATTTAAAATGGCTGAGCACAACAATCCATTTAAAAACCCCTCTCAGACTACCAGTTATTAAGTGAATGCCTGCCTGAGGAGAAAGGTCCGCTTGCAGAAGGACAGCAATGATGGGACCAGCCTAGCTTCCGGTGGCAGGGAGTTCCAGAGTCTGGAAGTAGCAACAGGAAGGCCCTCTCCCATGTCCCCACCAAACACATCTGTGAGAGTGGCAGAACCAGTTATCTTAAAGTCCAGGCAGGCTCATAGAGGGAGGTGTCTTTTAGATAGCTTGGATCCAAGCTATTGTGGTCTTTTAGATAGCTTGGATCTAAGCTATCTAAGGGCTTTATAGGTTAAAACCAGCACTTTGAATTGTGCCCATTGCCCCGGGGGGGGGTCACATGATCTGTGTAACCAGATCCAATCAGCAATCTGGTTGCTACGTTTTGGACCCTCAGGAGTTTTTGAACACTTTCCAAAGGCCGCCCCACATGTATGTGGTACAGTAATCCTGTCAAGATGTAACTAGGGCATGTGTCACCGCGGCTGGTTCAGCCCTCTCAAGAAACAGACACAGCTGGCACAGTAGTTTTAACTGTGGACATTGCCAAAACATACCTGGGCATCAAGCCTCAGAGATGATTCCATGAGCATCCCCCAAGCTGAGCACCTGTTTTTTCAGAGGGAGTGCAACCCTTGCCAAAATGTACCTGGGCATCAAGGCTCAGAGATGATTCCATGAGCACCCCCCAAGCTGAGCACCTGTGTTTTCAGAGGGAGTGCAACCCCATCCAGCATAGGCTGGGTCCCTATCGTGGATCTGCTTTTCGACTGACTCTGTCCTGTCTGGATGAAGCTTCAATCTATTTGCCCTCATCCAGTCTATTGCTGACACCAGACACTGATTTAAAACTGAAACGGCTTCCTTGGATTTAGATTGAAAAGGAGAGATGAGAGTGTTACCGGCATTCTGGTGACATTTATTTTATTATTTATTTATTATTAGATGTTTATCCCGCCCTACTAGACAGGAGTCTACTTAGGGCGGCTCGCAATATATTGTGCACAAAACAGATTTTAAAGAACAACAATTAAAATCTACAATAATAATATAATCACGATGGGAAAATAAACAACAACAAAAACAAGAAAAGTAAAAAGCAAGTATTGGCAGGTGGAAAGGCCTGCCTAAAGAGCCAAGTTTTTAATTGGCTCTTGAAAACACCCAGCGAGGGTGCCAGGCAGATCTCTGGCGGCAAGCTGTTCCAAAGTCGAGGGGCCACTGCCGAGA